ATTCCTGTTTAATGGGAACAAAATGAGAATATGCTCACAACTGACTCAACTGCTTCTCAAGAGGAGCGTATCCGGAGTGGAATTTGTTGACATATTTCTAAAGTTAGTACAGAGCTTTATAATCTACACAATGGATTTTCAAACTTGAGTGATAAGTCACACATATTGTATTCTGCACTGAGATTTCTCTAGTTTTCCTTTCTTCTGGCTACAAGGCTATTTCAGAAAGACAAAGCTTCCAAGTTCTTACCATTAAGAGCTGGGGCAGAGTTAATTCTCAGTTGGAGATGGCAGACAGGATCTTCAGCCTGTCAGCATGATGATTTTAACATCTGATCATCCAAACCAGCATTCCTACTTGTACCTTTTTATACTTTATAAAAGCTTTTGTGAGTTGACTGATGAAGAACTTAAGTCTCTGAGTAGTCTTCTCAGGCCTCCTGAGCTCATGAGAAGAGTTTGTTGCATTAAAAAATTATTTCAATTCCTTTGTTTCCAAATAGTAGTATGGCCCTTCTTAATGTGATGAAACCTTATTTTTGAGCTACTTGATTCCTGGGAAGACAAGTCATTTGGAAAGGGAAATATTTTGATTCTGTTCAGTGTAAATCAGCTATAGGCCTTAGTGGTTGAGGTTTTTAATGTAAATTCTAGAAGAAATTGGTAGTGGTGCTGTGATATCAGCTTTATGAATTTTATAATGCATTGTCAATGTTCTATCTTTCCTTACTACAATTATTCTGCTGTTATTTTTCTTGTGTGTGAGCTAGCAAAATTTTATTTTGAGACTGAGATATCAGGCAGAACAGAGTGTAATATTGCACTTATGAAAAAGTAAACAGAAAGGATAATTTTGTGTTTGATATTTTTGTAGGTACAAGCCTATGCAGAAAGTGGATGGAGTTGCAGATGGTTTCACAGGAAGTGGTCAACAGACAGGCACATCTGCTGAACAAACTGTAATTGCCCAAAGTCAGCATCATCAGCAGTTTTTAGGTATGAAAAGATGTGTAATACTGTTCTATACATAAATAGAATAAACTCCATTATCGCCATGACCATCAATTCATACAAATACAATAATTATGTTTAGTTATGTTGCCCTGTTTAAAACTCTCTCTGTTAACAGAACAAAAAGATACTCATAGAAGCTATACATTCTATATTGTGAGACTTATGCCATATTTAATATGCATCATACAGGTATAAAAGGAAAAATGTGCAAAGTCTATTTTCATGGTGTATTTAAAGTATATTGCAATGCAATTGCCATGAAGTGTTTTACACAAAAACGCATACTGAAAGTCATGCCCTAAAAGATGAGTAATTTCCACTGGGTTCTTTGAATATGCACATAAAATGAGATTGTATTTTTGCACTGCAGTTGTGTAACCATTGAGTGATCTGTACTGAGTGCGTGCTGTAATGTTATAAATGGAAAGAGCCAAATAGTTAAAACCAGGGTTCATGTTTAAAAATGTGCAATTTGTGCATTCATTGATGTAGCTAAGCATGTCAATTTCTCAGTTGTGGAAACAAATGTTGATTTAGTAATTTGCTAATGTAAAAAAAGATGATTACATGTGTTATTGCAATAGTTCTACACTTAGTTTTGGGTTCATATGTTGGGATTTTCAAGCACCATATCCTTTGGCCTAACCTTACTGTTATTAAAATCATTGGGAACATTAGGCTAGAGTTAGAATGTTTTTGAATTTTCCCTTCCATTCATTGCGCCCCCCTCCCGTTGACAGACCATTTTTACCCCCATACCAGTGTATTTCTTGGAAACGTTTGTGAGAAGTACTAAAAGCGCATGTTGGCTATAGTTGGAAGTCTAGTAAATTTCAACTAAAATATGCTGCTAAGTCTACTAAACCCTAACATACATGACCATACAAAACCTACTCAAGTTTATCAAAACAAAAAATATTAAATTATATTAATCTTTTATATACTGACATTAATATTCTGCTTCATCCTGTCATATTCTGAAAATGTACAATACGTGTACAATATGTATGTGAAATCATTTTAATCTGCTACCTGTCAGGAATAATTTAACATCTCCTTTTGCTTAAAAAAAATAGCTAGCTGGAGTGTTCACAGTTTTATTGCAACTTTAAAATATATTAAATATGAAAGACTTTTAGACTTTTTTTCTTTATATCATCCTTAAATGTTTCCTAATTAAACTGTAATTGGTACCATTCACAATAACTTTCTTCTGTTATGTTGGCATGAAAACAGATGCATCTCGAGTACTTCCAGAGTTTGGAGAGGTTGAAATATCTTCTCTGCCAGATGGTACTACCTTAGAGGACATAAAATCACTGCAAAGTCTTTATCGAGAGCACTGTGAGGTAACAGCAACAACAAAAAGGCATTTTACGTAAATCATTCTTCTTTGAAAGTTCATGTCTTCTAGTGAGAATCAGTACAACAGGATGGCACAAACCACATTACAGCCAGCCTGCTGGTTCTATCTTCTACTGGATCTATCTTCTTTAATCTGTCCTGTCAAGTATTTAAAGATGTAGATAAGATCCCTCCTGAGTCTTCTCTTCCTCAGGCTAAACAATCCCAGCTCTCTTGGCCTCACCTCCTATGTCAGATGCTCCAGTCCCTTAATCATTGCAATAGCCCTTTACTGGACTCGCTCTAGTATGTCCATGTCTCTCTTGTACTGGGGAGCCCAGAAGTGGACACAGTACTCCAGGTGTGGCCTCACCAGGGTTGAGTAGAGGGGAAGGATCAGCTCCCTCAACCTGCTGGCAACACTCCTAATGCAGCCCAGGATGCTGTTGGCAGCCCACCTCACAGTCCGCTTATCTAGCATGTACTTCATCGCTTCGTCTATAAGGATGTTATGGGAGTGTCAGGGCCTTTACTGGCCTCAGCCAGCCTCACCTGGGGCCTCCACCCACACAACCTGTCCATGGGCCCAGGAGCTCCATTTAAGCTCAGGCCTAGGCCTTCAGTCCCTGCCCGAGCTATGCTGTAGGAGTACTAGTCTCCAGCTCAACCACAGCCATGTCTGTGCCTGGCCACAGACCTCATTGATCTAGACCCCAAATAGCCTCCCAGCTTGACTGTGAGCACTGTGAGGTAACAACAACAACAAAAAAGGCATTTTACGTAAATCATTCTTTGAAAGGTCACGTCTTCTAGTGAGAATCAGTACAACAGGATGACACAAACCACATTACAGCCAGCCTACTGGTATCTGATGTGCTTCCCCAAATATTTTGCTTATTCCATCAGAAAGGACGTTTGCAAAACAATTTTTTTGGAATCTCTCTCTTTACAGAGAAATTAATATCTAATAGAATACTGATAATGAACTGTAATCATGTATATGTTTTAAGAATTTTAGCGAAATTGGACTTCAGATAATATATAAAGATTTTTGCTTTTCTTTATAGGAGTTGAAATCAGATTAAATTATTATTTCTAATGTTTATGTTAAAAACAAACTTGCTTTTTTCTTCAAGTTTTAAAGAAACGGGTTGCTTGAGAACTTTAAGTCACATTTCATATTGAATATTGTGTCTTTAAAAATTATTGTTGAAGGTGCTTTAAAACATTTAATGAAGTAACAAAATTAATGAAATAGCAGGTTTCCTTTGTGTTTAATCATGTTAAAAGTTTTGTTTAGATGAATTCACCTGATATGTTTGTTTAGGCTCTTTTTTGGAGGCTTCCTCGTATTTGCACTTGGCCTGATCTGAGCCTCTGTGTGCACTAGTGTGTACAGTTGGAAAATTCATTTATAAGAGTTATTAAAAAGGATATTCGTTTATTTAGAAATATACATTTTGCTGTTGTTACACAAAATGACTGGGGGGGAAGCTATGCTCCTGGGAGGAGTTGGGGGGGAAACCAGGTAGAAGACTATCTGCACTTGGTCTTTTTTGTTTTTGTTTTGGTTTGGTTTGGTTTTAGGCAATATTGGATGTTATTGTGAACCTTCAGTTTAGCCTGATAGAAAAATTGTGGCAAACTTTTTGGCGCTATTCTCCCTCTGCTCCAGCTGATGGCGCTACTGTTACTGAAGTGAGGTCAGTACATGTCTCTGTTTACTGTTTATCATCATACTATAACAGCTGATGTCAACTCAAAGAAATTCTTAGTTTTACATACAGGCTAAGAACCTTTTTTGATATCAGTAGTTTTTCAGATTAAATTTGTGTTGTCTGGTATTTGACATATAGGCTGTGGGTATATGTCAAGCTTCAGCATTGAAACGATTGTATAAGTCTTCCCTTTTTTCCTTTGTTTGGGTGACTAAAGTTAAGGTATCTTTTCACAATATACTTCCCTATTCTTTTAAACTGAAAGGACCATTTTTATCATACCTCTGCATAACTTATGGACTGTAACAGAACTTTGGAGGCCATTTTTCCCCAGTTCCATCTGAACAAGTTAAAGAAGTTATGTTGGATGTAATTGAGACATTTATAGTTTTTATTAAATAATAAATTTCAAAGTCCACTGTACATTTTTTATCTATATGTAAATACATTTTCATTTATTCGTTTGCTACATTTGTTCATGCCAGCAATCTGAGTGAAATAGAAAGTCGACTTCCAAAAGGAAAGCTGATTGCTCTGTGCAAAAATGAGTCTATTCTGAAATGGATGTGTAATTGTGACCATGTGATGTACCAGGCTTTGGTGGAGATTCTCATTCCTGATGTCCTTAGACCTATTCCTAGTAAGTTGAACATGGATAACATCCTGTAAGGTTGTGTTGTGTTGTGTTGTGTTGTGTTGTATGTGGTGGCGATGTTGTGCCTCACAGGAAACTTCTGTGAATGATTTGGAAGGATATAAAAGTAGTGTGTGTCATCTTTCCTTATTTCTGTTGAGTAGAAAGGTGTACTGAGAGTTAGTTGATGTATGCATTGTATTTAAAGAAAAGGAGACTGGGTATTTCACTGCGTTTGGGAAAGTCTCCAGAAGTTTTCAGGATGTGTTTCCCTATGAAAGATGCTTTTGTCACTGCAGGTCATGTTTTTATTATTTTTAAGATAAAAATGTGTTCCTTTACACAACTTGCTCTAATCTACCTGACAGATGTGAACGCACTATGGCCCTGAGCCAGAGTCTATTGATGTCAGTCAGTCTTTCCACTGACTTCAGTAGGCTTTAGTTTAAGGCTTTATACATAAAACCTCTAGTTATTAAAAAAAAAAAAAAAGTATATGCTTTGTAATTTCATTTTTGGATACTTAAACATTTGTCTTATCAGTGGGTGCTAAGATCAGTAACTTATCAGGTTTGATGCCTATTAAACCAACAGAACATTGTCAATCATTTTTAGTCTTGTTTATTATTCCAGTCTACTATACTTTCTGTCCTATGTCCAGTGTGAAGGACTCCGCAACTGAATGTAATATTATGGCCAACTGACCATTATCAGGAATATAGCTTTGTTTTCAAAGTTGATTTTAATAGTATCCATTGTTGCTCAAACATTTTATTTTTTATGGCTGCTTTTGGTAGTGAATGAATTTAAATTGGTTTCCGGGAAAGTTAAATTCCTTCCTAAAGCATTCATTGCATCACGTATGTTGTGTTAAATATTAAGAAGAAATTTCCTATTAACAATCCAGTATAATTCTTGTAAGTACTAAGTTTTATATCCTTTCTATGAACCAACCAATAGTCACTTTATAAAGTTGGGTTAATATTTTAAGACATAGAGCCTCATCTATCCTTGTAGCTAGCAAAGCTATTTTTGATAGTGTAAATTACAACTTCTGCCATGGTGACTTCAGCTGTAATCACAGAATAGTTGAGGTTGGAAGGGACCTCTGGAGGTCATCTAGTCCCAACCCCCCTGCTCAAAGCAGGGTCAACTAGAGCAGGCTGCCCAGGGTCATGTCCAGTTGGGTTTTGAATATCTCCAAGGATGGAGACTCCACAACCTCTCTGGACAACCTGTTCCAGTGTTTGACCTCCCTCACAGTAAAAAAGTTTTTTCTTAGGTTTAAGCAGAACTTCCTGTATTTGAGTTTGTGCCCATTGCCTCTCGTCCTTTCACAGGGCACCACTGAAGAGTCTGCCTCTGTCTTATTACTCCCTCCCATCCGGTATTTAGACACAGTGATAAGATCCCTCCTCGAGCCTTCTCTTCTCGAGGCTAAACAATCTCAGCTCTCTCAGCCTCTCCTTCTTTGTCAGATGCTCCAGTCCCTTAATCATCTTAGTAGCCCTTCGCTGGACTCGCTCCAGTAGCTCCATGTCTCCCTTGTACTGGGGAGCCCAGAACTGGACACAGCACTCCAGATGTGTCTCACCAGCACTGGCTAAGTAGAGGGGAAAGATCACCTCCCTCAACCTGCTGCCAATGCTCTTCCTAATCACAGAACCACAGAATCACAGAATGGCCAAGGTTGGAAGGGACCTCTGGAGATCATCTAGTCCAACCTCCCCTGCTCAAGCAGGGTCATCTAGAGCACATTGCACAGGATCGCGTCCAGGCAGGTTTTGAATATCTCCAGGGAAGGAGACTCCACTACCTCTCTGGGCAACCTGGTCCAGTGCTGCTCAGTCACGCTCACAGTGAAGAAGTTTTTCCTCATGTTCAGATGGGACCGCCTGTGTTTCAGTTTGTGCCCATTGCCTCTTGTCCTGTCGCTGGGCACCACGGAGAAGAGCCTGGCCCGATCCCCTTGATATCCTCCCTTCAGATACTTGTACACATTGATCAGATCCCCTCTCAGTCTTCTCTTCTCCAGGCTGAACAGGCCCAGCTCCCTCAGCCTTTCTTCATAGGAGAGATGCTCCAGTCCCCTCATCATCTTTGTAGCCCTCCGCTGGACTCTCTCCAGTAGCGCCATGTCTCTCTTGTACTGGGGAGTCCAGAACTGGACACAGGACTCCAGGTGAGGCCTCACCAGGGCTGAGTAGAGGGGCAGGATCACCTCCCTCGACCTGCTGGCAACACTCTGCCTCATGCACCCCAGGATACCATTGGCCTTCCTGGCCACAAGAGTGCATTGCTGGCTCATGGTCAACTTGTTGTCCACCAGGACTCCCAGGTCCTTCTCTGCAGAGCTGCTTTCCAGCAGGTCAATCCCCAGCCTGTCCTGGTGCATGGGGTTATTCCTCCCTAGGTGCAGCACCCTGCACTTGCCTTTGCTGAATTTCATGAGGTTCCTCTCCGCCCATCTCTCCAGCCTGTCCAGGTCCCTCTGAAGGGCAGCACAGCCTTCTGGTGT